GAAGAACAAAATCACAGCTATTTTGAAATAATATTAAACCTCATTTTATGGCATTTTTTATGTTCAACAAACGAGTAAGCATTTCTCTTGAAGTAATAGTTGTAAAATATAGTAATCTACGATAGTTATTAAATCTTCAAGACCTGTCCCCCCACTTTTTTCCCCAACATTACTTTTACTATAGGAAATGTTCATTGAAGGGATAATTCAACTTTTTGACCATAGTATAGTGATATCGAAGAATTGTGGGGGAAAAAATTGGAATTGAAAGTAACGTGCCTTTTAAAAAAGTTGGCCACTTTTGCCCCCCCCCCCCACCACGAAATAGGATTTTCGACGAGTCTGGGGAACTTTCTCTTTTTTTTTTGCTTGTCAAAGAATTTCTGGAGTTGAGCCCCCCCCCCCACACTTTTAAGTTTGTGACTACGCCTATGACTACTAAATAATATAATTATATTCTTTACATATCAACCACAGTATTTCTGATCCCTTGAAAATAATATAAAAAGTAAGTTATCAGCATTGGATCGGGCTTATTCGAAAGTGAAATTTGGAGTTTGGCAGTAAATAAAAAAATTCTTGTAGTGAATGAATAAAATTTAGTATTGAAAGATATTGGAACCTATTTTACTTGTCAGATTTCTTCGAGCTATCTGATTTTCATTCTAACTGTTCTATCCCCCACCCACTTAAAAAAAACGATGCTACCTACCTGAATTAATTTTTCTTAACGGTGTACATCGAAATGCTTGGTTGTGCCCTCAAACTGGAATAGTTTTTAGAGGCCTGGAATTCCTTGACCAATTTTATTTTATTAGCCCAACTATATTTATAAGAAGGCAAGATATATGGTATGTAAGTTTCATCTATATATGTTATGTAGTTCATATTAAAAAACCAAACGGGATTATTGACGATATCCCATTCAGGGTGTAAACATAGCAGTTTAAATTTTATTTCCATACATTGTACATGACATAAATTAATGCGCTCCATACTGAAGATCCGTAAATGTTCACCAAACCGAAAATGTCCACTAGCAGTACAGCACGGGGAAACTCTAAACAAACGGACCTGTACAATGGAGTGGGGGAAACTTTAATTTTCATCATTGTTAATCATTTGTATGCAAATATGAGCATGGGATTAGTAATAATGTACATAATGCATCAAGTCTTTCTGAGAGCGATTTAAAAAACTAGCCTTTTTGAAAAAAAAACACATGTAGTATTTTATGTAGTAATCCATAAATGCATTAAATGCAACTCATTGAGCTGATTGGTCTATTTGTGTCCCTCACTGATCAGACGTCATAAAAAATATTTTCCTCGACCTGATGATTCTCGCAATGCTTTTCCCGCGCACATGCGCAGATCCAGGATAAACGTCAGTCCTATATAAATATGCATGAGAATATCGTGTTCTTTTCCTGACCAGTACTTTGTTAATACCGAATAAAATTTAGTCGAATTTGCAAGAATGCTTCATTTTTGGTAGCTTATCATACTCCAGAAATTTTTGCTCGGTTTCAGCCGTGCAAAAATACTGTTTAACACGGCATACATATCTTTAAACGATATACAATAATATCCAATTTAATTATATTCAACGATATTCAATTATATTCAATGGTATTCAATGATATGATATTCAATGGTATTCAATGATATTTAATGGTATTCAATGGTATTTAATATTCAATGGTATTCAATGATATTCAACACACACACAGAAGGACAATGATCTACATCGACTTTTACAACCGTGAATGATGTAGAAATATCATAGAACAATGAAACGATGAGAGAAGCCCAATTATTTGCCATGGACCCTGAAAGCTAACAGGATCAGCAGCGAGCTTCTAGCAAAATTCGATCAGCCTATGAGACGTCCATGTATATCGCATTAAAATGAGTTCCTAGAAGATCTATGTCAATGAAAAGTCCATGTATACCGCAATGGAATACGCCGAATTGGAATGGGTCCTTTGAAAATCCATGTCGATGAGAAGTCCATGTAGCCAACAGTGGGAGGAGTCTTTAGTAAAGCCATGACGCTAATGGGTCCTTTGCTGATAGCCTAAGGAATGGATGCTGCCTGAAATCAGATAATGAAAGACAAAAGCAAAACTTGTCAAAAAAAGGGGAACAATTTATTAAAATCTGGTAAATTGGGAGGGTGGGTGGGATGCTGAATTGGACTGGACAATGGAGGGTGGAAAAAGGAAGTGCTAAATGCGCATGTCTAATAGATATGGGTAAAAGAATGTGAATTTGAGTGAGAGATATCCTTCTTGGGCTATACCTCTATATTTTTAACATGACTTAACTCAGCTGATTAAATAAATTCCATCAATATTTTCAGTGGTTGATAGACTGCCTGTGAAACAGCTCATTTACAAATACAGCAAAACCTCAAGATAAGCATAAAATAATATATTTTTTAAGATATGTTAACACACACACTCACACCCCAACACACATATACACATAAATGTTATGAGAAACATTCATTAAATAAGTCTATCTTTGTTCAGATATTGACAATACAAATCTTCGACAGGAATGAAAAGAAACCCTCCTACCAAATCTACAAAGATGAAAATTCAATGTGTACGAAGGTTTTGTAAGCACTTTATTTCATTTTTTTTTAAAATCAGCTGTATAATTGCTGTGGAATGTAAAATCTGTCAACAAGGTATAGCTTTGCCTATGATTGATTGATTGTATACTGTTTAACGTCCCTCTCCAGAATATTTCACTGATATGGAGACGTCACCATTGCCGGTGAAGGGCTGCAAATTTAGGCCTATGCTCGGCACTTACGGCCTTTGAGCAGGGAGGGGCTCGTGCCACACCTGCTGTGACACGGGGCCCCGGTTTATACGGTCTCATCTGAAGGACCGCCCCATTTAGTCGCCTTTTACGACAAGCAAGGGGGTACTGAGGACCTATTCTAACCCGGATCCCCACGGGAACTTTGCTTATGTGCATTGATAATGAAAAGGCAAAGCATTGAAAATGAACAACAGAGTCTTTGTCCCTATGTGACATTTAGAGGTCATTTTTAGGGGGTTCAGGTAAAAATTATCGATGAGATATATTCAAATAAATATATTCTAGCACGAACATGGACACATTAAGAAATAAAACTTTACTTGGTGAAAAAATTCCAAGTAGAACTGATGTTATGAAATTATCAATGTTGTGAGTACTGCTGTTTTATGTAAGAAATTTTAGCTATATAAGATAACAAAATGATGGCACATGAAAGGAAGAAAAATCCGTTAAATCTAGGTAATATTTTAAGGATAGAGTCTAATCTTATTTGGAAATATGGCAAACTATATATTTTCGGAAAGGTCTATGCAAGCCCTAATTTTCTGTTTCCACGCCAGCTTAAAAATATCCAAGATGGCGGCAAAATATCCAATATGGCCGCTAATAGTCAAAATGGCCAACACAGACTTATTGATAAAATGTTTTCAAAATTATGTAAGCTATGAATAAATAATGAAATTTTATTTATTTTTTACTATTTATTTCTTATAAAAGATAAATAAAGACAGTAATCTTAACAAAATATGGTTACTAAACGACAGAGTTCTGTCTGGACAGCGCAAAGAAGAAAGATGTCAATATTATAAAATTGGCAAAGACTGGGGAAAAAAGCATTTACTACTGTAAATTCACAACTTTATTTTGAATTTATGTAGATCTTTATGTTTATCAAATTTTCTGTATCAATAACTAATTGTAAATATTCAGTCTAAATTATCCATGCTTCCTGGACAAGTTGAATGTTAAGTTTCTGCTACTTCCAGCGGGTACCATAATTATGATATGGAATGATCTTAGCATTTTCCCCGAAGTCTAACTGTATATTCTCACTGAAAAAAAAATAACCACAAAGTATATCATGTTCATAACAAAATTATAAATATTTTTTTTATAGTTATCAGTAAAACAATAAATAAACATTTTCTTTTATCACATTAGAACTTCGGGTTATTCTACAAGTAGTTCAGAATTCAGAGGAAATCCTGGTTACAGAATCAAATTTGTACATTTCATGAATATCAGGGACCGTCTTTTTGGCCTATAGGTTCTTTTTTTATATGTAGTAGGTAATGACCATAGTTTTCATGGATTTTTTTCCGTTAAGTATAAAATTATTTAATCTCACATTTTCTATTTTCTCTTGTGATCTTACGATACAAAATATGCATAAATTTAAAGGTACTTAGAAACTGTTCAAAAGTGCGCGTCGGGTGACGACTTTTGAGTGGAATCCGGGTGAATTAATTTCGAAAATGATTTCAGAACCACAAAATTCAGATGCGAAATTTCTCAGCTTTCTAATAGTGTATGTTGCATAAAAATATTCCTATTACTTACCGTAGTAAAATTGACCTCTTTCCTTTGAAACGAAAATACATATTTAGCATTAAGTTGCAACAATAACAATGTTAATCTGCAAAATGTAAGCTTTCCTGTGGTACGTCAATGTCGTCAATTCCTTAAAAATCGCCTCCCGGAAAGCTATCAAAGGGAAAACCCAGCATTTAATTTTAGCACAACTTCGACTCGGTTAATTTTTATTTCACACTTTTCATAATGAATCCACACATCTGCTTACGAAAGTTCAAACAATGTAGAAAAAATTCATTATACTTAAAATTTAGATAAATATGAATAATAATGCAAAAATTACGTTTATAAACACCAATAAATTGCGTTTAAATGGCATGATTACATACCTGAACCCCCTATCATTATTTTTATTTTTTTCATTTGGTATTCACTAACCCAAAACTATGTTGCAAAGCAATGCTTGTGTGTAACAGAAATCAAATGATACAGACTCTGACTCCACAAGACTCTAGTCCACTCCAGTCACCAATCAGCTTTTTACCCAACGCCTACGACTATGACCCATATGCATTTACCTTTTTCCTTCTAAATTTAGATTTAAATCAAGTTAAAAAAAATGGCCGACGAGATACACACGTTTGCGTCAGACGACAGATTTCAGAATTATGTTACTTTGATAATTGCCTTACACTTCACTAAAGAGGGACTGAAGGACTATATAAAAACTCAAATCGATGGAATTTATGTGCGATTATCTAGGAGGTGCGCCACACACTTGCCATGTACCATAAACTGTGTAAAGATGCATTCTAAGAGTGTGAATCAGTGGTGTGACACGTGCAAAAAATGGCGAGAGGAGTTACGGAGGTTAATGAGGTACCCAGGTCTAATTAATCGAATAAACTGGCAGTTGTTTGATTCAAGAACATGGGGAAGGGATAGCACTGAGGCTACAATTAATCAAATTATCAATGTATTCATACACAATTGTCAAAATGTTACTGAATGTGGTTTGGATGATATCACAAATATTATTTCGTTATTAGAAAACTGCCTTTACTTTGACATAGGAAAAAATAAACAGTTAATGACAAAAATTCGTACAATTCGGAACAAAAATTTTGCACACAATAAATCATGCCATATCGAGGAAAAAGATCTGAAAAAATGTCTGAACGTATTATTAAATTGTCTTCAACACAACACAGTTTGTGGAAATTTGAAATGTATGGACGCTGCTAAGAAGCTATCAGATCTGAAGAATAAGGAAATCGGGATACGTTGTGAATGGGTTTCGTACCTGCTTGATGTATTACATGATCGCCCAAATGAACTCCATGACACAATAATGCGTCACATTGATGAATGTTTGGACTTACATGTACAACCTCTTTATTCAAAGACACAAGTGGAATTTAAAAATATTGTTTTACTTTTTATCATATCGGCTTCATCCATATATTTAATAATAAGTCTATTTTTCGGAATGCATTTAACGGGCATTGAAAACATGTTTAGGACATCGACAAAATCAGGTAAGAATTTATTCTTATCTGAACTACTTTATTACAACATCAGGGATGGGGTAATGGTAATGTGTAATGGTAATTGACTGTAATTAATTACAAATTTCAATGTAATTGAAAGTAATGGCAATTTAATTAATTACTTTCCAAAAGGCATGTAATTCACAATTGCTTTTCAATTACTTTCAATTACACTGATTTTAAATGAATGAAAAACCTTCACTCCCCTACCATCTCATAAACATTTTTTAAGACAGGTTAACTGATTTTTTTTTAGCAAATATTCTGATAGTAGAATTTCTTTAAAAAGAATTTTAACATAGTCATATTTTACTTTTTAAGTAAATTGCTGATTAAATATTGCCCTATTTTATTTTCTTAAAAACCTTCAAATCAATTTAATCTTTGTAAAGAGTAGAAATAAAATTTTAAAATAAAATTGATTTTTTAATTAATTAATCCATATCAAATAAGTAGTCCAATGGCTTCTAATCTGTAACCAGTGTAGGAAATTAAAAGTTCCAATTTCAATGTTTTAATTATTTCTATTACACACTGTCTAACCCACATACTACACAAACCGGAAGTGCTTGTGTATCGAAGCGTATAAACAGGCCTAGAGAAGAACAAGTACTAGTTGAAATGCAAATTAAGCATTATTATTGACAAACAAACATGCTGAATTAACTTAATTATCATTCTGCGTATCCCGCTGAATAAGTGTCAATTGTTTGTATTAAAATTGAATGAATATGAAGGTAGCAAATTTAAAAACGCAATCGTTTGCTGACATATTTTCACATGCATGTATCGCTTGTGCCTTGTTTCTAGTCCACAAGAGATATAATTATTTCCCGAAATAACAAATATTAAAAATTGTGATACTAAAACAATGTTTTCTGTGTTTCAGAGTTTTACATTTCAATGTTTAGGTTTGAAATTACACAATTTAAAACAAAATAATTTTTACTTTAGTCTCTGTAAATAGGAAGTTAAATTATGTAAATTATTTTTTATACACTTTGGTTTAAAGAGCTTCTATATCGAAAAAAAAATGGTCTAATCGCAAAACGTCTATAAATTAATCACATTTACACAACAAAAAACAGCCAGAAACAAGCGACAATGACATTTCAATTTGGAGTCATGTAAATGAGAAGGAAAGATAAAATAGAATACTAGAACTTTTCAATTTAGAACGCACATAATTTACCAACGACTCGCACAATGAAAATACTGTACTGCACAACGACACATACAGCAAATATTGAACGATGGATGCAGTCACATTTTGATTAAATTATTAGGGCCCCGCTTGGCGGGCACCCTGTAGTGATCAGTCTGTCCGTAGGGCTGTCCGTCCATCCAAGATCTCTTGTCTAGAGCATATCTTCTCTCTCCTTGGCCCAATCTGGCTCATACTTCACCCACAGAGTGCCCTTGGGTAACCGGTGTGCAGTGACCTTGAACCAGGTTTTTAGGTCAAAGGTCAAGGTCATAGCAGAATTGTTTGAAAAATCCTTGTGTAGAGCATATCTTCTCTCCTTTGGCCCAATCTGGCTCATCCTTCACCCACAGAGTGCCTTAGGGTGTTCAATGACCTTGAATAATATTTCTAGGGCCTAAAAAAAAAAATGTTCGTTTCCTGTAACCCGACCGACCCATTCAAATTACCCCCGGGTGGATTTTTTTTCTGACAAATATGGCAAAACTTCGTTTGATCAATCAGCTGATTCCATTTATTAAAAAAAAATTAGCTTGTAGCTTAACTTGAGACATAAAATATGTCAACCAAGTTTATATTTACCTTAGTTTTAAAGAGTAATCATTATTGTAACAACAATTTCCCCCTACAACTTTCTGAAGTTCGTTTTCTGCCGCTATAAGCAGCCATTTTGGATGCCATGTTGGGTGTCCACTGTAAATATGACACCTGGTATATTCAGTCCGGGGATGTTTGACCATTCATAAGCAAAAAAAAAAAGAAAAAAAAAAAAGAATTCCCGACCTACCGACCCTTAATTTTTTGGGAATGTTACAGGAAAAAACTTATTTTTTTTAAGCCTACGTCAAAGGTTAAAGTTAAAGTAGAATTATATGAAAAATCCTTGTGTGGAGCATATCTCTGACCTTTGTCCAACTAGGTTCATACCTTTTTCACAGAGTGCTTTTGGGTGAAGGATGTGCAGTCACTGCAGTGACCTTGAAGCATGTTAAAGGTCTAAGGATAAGGTCATAGCAGAATCATATCAATATCATATGAAAAGTCCTTGTCCGGAGCACATCTTCTCTCCCCTTTGTCCAATGTGGCTCATACTTCACTCAGAGAGTGCCAGTGGTAAATTGATTTGCAGTGACCTTGAACGAAATTACTAGTCAAGGGTCAAGGTCAAAAATAACCTCTCTGTTTAAAATATTTTTTGGGTACATAATTTTTTTCTGTTTTAAAAGTCCACTCGGCCTCAAACAAATTGACTGGGTATGTGATTTTTCTACCATATTATGATAAAGGATATGCAACAATATTCATAGAGGATACATTTTTAAAAGTTTCTTTATTGAATTATTTTTCAGGGAGTAGTTACTTTTTGTCCCCTTTAATCTCAAACACCTTCCAAATTAACACTTTTCAGCTACCTTACATTTTCATGTCATTGCTAAAGGCGGGGCCCTTTGAGATGGCCACCATCTCAATGATATCTAGTTATAATCTTATCATGATTAAGAATAAATTAAGTTTGAATACCCCCATACTTTCATTTTTCATTATTTGATACATATATAGATATATTCGTCATTGGTCATTTGAGTTGTTTTATTAAAACAGATTCTGATTGCACACATAAGTACTATGAAGTTGACATCAAGAAGATGCTTGATTTTCTGATTGACAATATCTATGTGGTTTTTGGAGACCAGGTATTCCAACAATCTATTGGAATTCCCATGGGTACAAATTGCGCTCCGTTATTAGCAGACTTATTTTTATATTCATATGAAGCAGAATTTATGCAAAATCTTATGCGTGAAAAGAAGAAAACACTTGTTGTGGCCTTCAACTCGACATTTACATGTAGATATATCGACGATGTATTGTCAATTAGTAACGGTAATTTCCATTCCTACGTCGATACAATATATCCTGGTGAGCTTGAGATAAAAGATACCACAGAGTCCAACACTTCAAGTCTTTATCCAACTACACTGCTCTGCGTTTTGTGTTTTGTTTAAAAACAATTAGCTGCATGTTTGCAAAATTGTGCTTCCTTGGGAACCTTTCATCATAAATCTATGCGTTTTTATACAAAACACATTTAAATGCTTAACATATCCTCAATTAAATGCCGGTTTATTTTCACAACCCAGTGACTGCATCATGTTGTCACCGAAGAAACGAAAGAACTTCCGGTTTGTTTAGTATGTTATGTGTGTTTACGTTTTTGTTGTCATGTGTGAATGTCCAGCGGCTAACAATTTACATGCACACTCGGCGCTACACCCTTGACGGGAATAGTCAGAAATTTCTATGGAACGCCATAGCTGCCTAATAATGTGGCTATTTCATGAGAAGATGGTGCTCTATAATATTATGCTGTGGTTATTATACCCGCACTTTCTAAAGAAAGTTCGGGTATATTGTTGTTACTCATGTCCGTCCGTCTGTCACACTTTTCTTCCCTGAACTCCTCCTACATTTTTCACAGTACCTTAATCATCTTTTGGGAGATGGTTGAGGTTGTCATGTAGATGTGCAGTAAGGTTTCGGACTTTTGATTTTGCCTCGGGGGATCAAATGGGGGTCGAAAAATGACGTTTTTTATGCAAAAAGCCCCGTCTTCCCTGAACTCCTTCTACATTTTACTCAGCAGCCTAATCATCTTTTGAGAGATGGTTGGTGGTGTCATGTAGATGTGCAGTAAGGTTTCAGAATTTTGATTTTGCCCCGGGGGGTCAAATGGGGGTCGAAAAAGGACGTTTTTTATACAAAAAGCATCTTCCTCCCTGAACTCCTTCTACATTTTACTCAGCAGCCTAATCATCTTTTAGGAGATGGTTGGGGGTGTCATGTAGATGTGCAGTAAGGTTTCGGAATTTTGATTTTGCCCCGGGGGGTCAAATGGGGGTCGAAAAAGGACGTTTTTTATGCTAAAAGCCCCTTCTTCCCTGAACTCCTTATACATTTTACTCAGCAGCCTAATCATCTTTTAGGAGATGGTTGGAGGTGTCATGTAGATGTGCAGTAAGGTTTTGGAATTTTGATTTTGCCCCGGGGGGTCAAATGGGGGTGGTTAAAAAAACGTTTTTTATGCTAAAAGCCCCTTCTTCCCTGAACTCCTTCTACATTTTATTCAGCAGCCTAATCATCATTTGGGAGATGGTTGGGGGTGTCATGTAGATGTGAAGTAAAGTTACGGAATTTTGATTTTGCCCCGGGGGGTCAAATGGGGGTCAAAAAATAACGTTTTTTATGCTAAAAGCCCCGTCTTCCCTGAACTCCTTCTATATTTTACTCAGCAGCTTAATCATCTTTTGGGAGATGGTTGGTGGTGTCATGTAGATGTGCAGGAAGGTTTCGGAATTTTGATTTTGCCTTGGGGGGTCAAATTGGGGTCGAAAATTGACGTTTTTTTTATGCAAAAAGCCCTGTCTTCCCTGAACTCCTTCTACATTTTACTCAGCAGCCTAATCATCTTTTGGGAGATGGTTGGTGGTATTATGTAGATGTGCAGTAAGGTTTTGGTATTTTCATTTTGCCCCGGGGGGTCAAATCGTTAGCCTCATCATCTTTTAGGAGAGTTAAATATTTTGAAAATTAGGTAAAACATCAACATAATAGCATCATAGCATCCTGGGAAGCATTCTTATGAGTAATGTACATGTCAAATGTGAAAGTCATATCTCTTCTCAATCTAAAGTTATAAGCAAATGCAACATTTTTGAAAAGTGGGTTAAGCTTCAGTCAAGGTCACCAAGTCATGATTTATTAAGAAAGGTCTTAACACAGGTAA